ACACAGGGAGTCCTGAAGCACAGATTCAGAGGCAGTTTGCAACCTGTGCATTTCAAGGATATCAATTTAGTCAAACACTGGGTAGCAGCAATAAGGTCTTTTGCTTTAAATACCTCAGGTTAAATTTGGACCTGTGCAGACAAACAGTTGAACAAGCACAAAAAAGGAGAGAGGAACGGTACTCAGTTAAGACAGTCTGTGTGCCAAAGAAACTTGACACAAGCACATATTATACTCAGCATGATGGCACTGAAGTACACAACTCCAAACTTAAGAGAATCAACTCTTCATTCTGTTCTAACCCATAGAAATTTAATTAAGCCACAAATTTAAGCACCTTAAACATGCCTTGAGACATACTTTTAATGAGAAACGACTTTCAGATGCAGAAACTATTATCCCCAGTAACATATCTATTTAACAAGACCTAAAACATGTAACCACAACCATGAGTCTAACAAATCTAAAACCACATCCCTTGACACTTTTAAAAGAACATATTAGAAGCTAAAGCTAGTCTGCAGCTGGAATGATTTACAGATAAGACCTGTCTTTTATATCACACATTGTGTTGTTTTCCACTAGAAGGTTCAATACATCTTCTACCAGGACAGAGTCAGATTTATTACTCATGGTGGATGAGTTGCACACATATAATCAAGTTTTCCAATAGCACTTTGACAGATGCTGAAGTTCTCTGAAAGATCTAAACTACCTTCTTTTAAGCAAGGCAGATTTACAACTTGCAGTGACAGAATTGCTACTCCTACCATCACCTCTCTTGAAGAAAGAGATTTCATTAGTTTAGGACATATAAAAAACACAAAGCTTTCAGTTCTGTATTAGATGCTTTTGCAAAAAGACCAACCAAACAAAAAAACTCCAACAAAACAAAACAAGAAACCACAAACAGAAGAAAAAGAGCATTTACTGCTTGGAAGGGAAACAACAGCAGAATGTGTCACAGCACTTCTACTTGAAGTGATTAGAAATAGCAAAGCAAGTGCACTCTTGTGGCAACAGTGGTAACAACTGCTTGCTAGGTTACAACAGTAAACAGTCCAAGGCAAATACCCATAGAATACCCCAAAAAAAAGCAATATAGAGAAGCGTTTTATTTCCCTCAGATGCCACTAAGGCAATAACACAGTCATGTGAATCTGATGCCCACTATGACTTGCACAAAAGAGAGTCTTCATCTACAGGGCTACCTATACTTCGATGAACAAACTCCCTGTCCACATTGAAGACCAGATCTTCTGTTACAGTATTTGCCAGACTTCCCCACTCACTTCGAAAGGAATACAGCAACCTCTCTTGACAGAGGTCTTGACCATTAACTGCTAGCCATTCCAATCCAACTCTTCCGCACCCAGTCATAATGCAATTACAAGATTCTGCAGCAACTTGAGCCCTCTCATGGGGCTTGCTAGAGCTCAGATTCTGCACAATGGACCCACGAGTAAGCTAACCCTAGAAAGGTGGAGAAAGAGCATGAGATTGCTTTGCCCCAACCCAAACAGGCCATGTGCAAAGACATCCCAGATCTGTGAATTGCTTAGCTAGCTCCAAGTGTGAGCAGAGCACATGCAGGTCTGGCTGAATCTTTCTGTATAGACATGCCACAATATCTTTCAATTTCCTAGGCTGTATACAGAAATCACCACAGAATTCCCTGAGTATGGCTTCAATAATTCCTCTTTGATGATCCGGGCAACACCTAGCATTCAGCCTAGAAGCATAATGACAACTGCTAAATCTAGGATGGGTAATACTGCTTAAGAACTAGATAGATAAAACCGTTACTTAACACTTAAAAGTTGCTGTAGCATGTGAAGAGAAAGTGTTCTTTCCTCTGACATTATTCCCTAAATTGAAATATAAACTATTTAAAATGGAAAGCATTTCTATTTCTCAAACAGATACAAAATTCAATAACACAGAACCTGCGTATAATGTTCACATATATGTGAAAATTACAGCTTTCTGGATAAATAATATTTGTTATTCCCTTCACAACTACCATAACTTTTTTTTAATCTAATGCAAATATAAACTTGAAGGAGCATGATATAGTTAGCATGTAAACATTTCCCAGAGATATGAACTAATAATCTTAGAAAAACATGTACTTACACAGCCTCTTGCCCATTATGAGAAGTAGCTCCTTTGGTGTATCTTTCTAACACAAGGTGTGGGAACAACATCAAAGCCAACCAAGTAAGAACCCACCAAATTACCACTCCTCAGATGAGAGACTGGTGGTTAGTTGATTTCAATTTGTAATTTCCTATTACTGTAAAAATGCATATTCATACATTCACACAATGAATTTAGCAGAGCTGATAGCGGGAGAACCAACCTAGAACTGATGATTACAGAAACAAATACCCTTGAAGTCAGTGCAGGACAAAATCTTCCTGTTAAAAAGTTTTTATTGTGTTCACAATGTGGCTTCATGAACCCTTCAGTGAGAACACTATGTAAAGCACTCCTGTTAACCTCCCCTCTCGTTCCCACTCCCCAGTCAATGCCATCACTTAACACTACTACAGCTGATCATTTCATTGTGAAACAAATTGATAATAACAATGCTGTAAAAGATGGCAGGGTCGGGGTTTTTTTCCTTTTTATCATTCTGATTTCCCTAATTTGGGTTGCCACAAGTGAGGAGGCTGAGTGGGCCAGAACAAGGAACTAGGGGAGGGAAGAAACACCATAGCAGGGGCTAAACTTGCACTCTCTGTTTGTGAAACTATGGTTTTAGTGAACGTGTATGACTTCTTCAAACCGTGAAACAGATCATTGCAACTGAGAGATTAGATACTTTCTATCCATGAAGGTTTATTTAGTTTTATTTAATTTGCATAAATTAGTACTTAGAAAAGGCCAGATCCTCAATAGGAATATAACAAATTGTAATCTGGTTTTGTCTGGCATCTCTGAAATTAGTGATTTACAGCAAGTGAGAATCTTCTCTGAGAAGACAGACTGTGTTGACACTAAACAACACAAAAGACCATTATCAAGTGATCACAGAGTTTATATTAGTAAAGAGGAAGATGCCTTCTTTCTTGATTTCTTTGTACATTTAATTGAGCTATGTTCTCATTCAAACAAAGTTGTTATTACAGGAGAAGTCCAGGGAAAATTTGCAGATCACTTTCTAACTTTGGTGTGACAGCAAAGTCATTAACTAATCAAGGTATTGCAGATTGGAGGGAAACTGGAACAGATGGCCAGTCTGCAGGACCACAGGAAGGTATGAGACACTTAAAGAGCTCATTTGTAAAAGCCATTTTAAAAAGCATCCCATCTGCAGGACAACTAATAAGCCAGTGAGACTTTCTTTTCATGATAAAATGCTTTTAACTGTATGTCCTTGCCTAGTTTTCTTTTGTGGATTGATTTCTGTAAAAGTCAGACTGACCATAATAGAACAGTCATAACAAAGCAAGACTGGCTGTTCTGGGCTGATGATAGTAAATACAGTGCTACTGTGAGTCATTTTCCCCAGAAGTGACATGTGAAGCTCAACAAAATTATTTCTCTGTCATTATTCTGGCAAAGAGACACATGTCACTAACTTGTGAATGCAGGAAAAGGGCAGCGAGCAGGGGAACACTATTCATAGAATCTTTTATCATGACAAACCAGGGAATGCATTCAAGTTGAGTTTGCATGGTTGCTTGTTAAAAATATTAGGATTTTCCCTGTAATGTGACAATACTTGATCTGAGATCACTGACAGAAAACACAGATCTGGAGCCTCTTTATGATATCTTTATAGTCCCTTTCCACAATACAGACATCCCTTACATAACTATAAAAAAAAAAGTGACCACGCAACAGACAGGAACCAGGACTGCATATACTGGGATAAAAATCTGAATTTTGAAAAACCACAGTGGTATTTTGAATGGTAAAGAAACATAGAGTTACTTATGGTTTAAGTAAACTCTCACTACTAGCTTTCTTGGACGGCAGATCAATAAAAAAGTACATATGCATCTCACTCGGTAAGACCTAATTCAGAGAAAAGCAATTAAGATTGATAACCTGAAAAACTCAGAAACATGTTCATTAGCCAAGAAACACTCTAGCAATGTCTCCACTATGAATTACCAGAGGACCAGCTTGCACCCCAAGCCTATCAGTTTGAGGGCTGACATAAAACACAGTTAAAACACCTGAACTTTTCCAAAAATAGGCTTCTCAACCTTCTTTCAAATTGTGGAATGGCTCAGCTATTTCTAAATGCCACTGAATCAAATCCAGTGAAACTTTTAAAAAGACATTGTGGCAGTAACCTTCACCATCACTTCCTCAGTGTGTTTTGCTTTTCTTTCTTCCTCTTAACAAGGCTTGATCTCACTGTCTGGCTGAACATTAATCCGCTTTCATCAAGTACCAAAATAATGCTTGCTGCATTAATACACTGCAAATCCTCTAGGTATAAGTTACACACGATTTAGTATAAAAGGTAAGCATAGTGCTTTCTTTTCACTACAGCTATTACCAGGAAGGCAAGTAGAATACAGGTAAGTTTTCACCAGATCTTGATCTAGAAATCTTTTTTCAAATTGCAAACACTGTATGTAATTAAGTGCTTCTGGAAAATAGATTATACTTTTCTCTTTCTCTCCCTTGCTTCTTTTTCTTTCTCCTTAAAGATAGGACACATTCTCTGTACAGAAACGTAGATAAAAATATTTCATTGAAAGTGGTATGGTACTCTGCTACTATTATTCTGCAAAGACTGCTGACATACCATTTCAGTTGCTTAGGAAAATCAAACTCCTTTAACAATAAACATATGGATAGATCTATTTAATGGCTTTATTCTATGTTCTCACTGATGTTTCTGAAAGCTTGCTATTATAGAACCACTTGAGAATAATGTGAAGACTCAATTTCTCCCTGTTTCTATAAATATTTCCTGTTGAAAATAACTATACATGTTTCTCCAGTATAGATATATTTTTTGCTTTATACACAGGATGAAGACCGTTAATTGTTATGTGCTGTTATTTTGCTGGAAAGCAATTTGCTGCAATAGCTGTCAGCTCACCAATATTACTATAGCAGTGGAAAGAGAAGAATGTGAATTCTGTATTACAGTGAATGCCACGTGGTGCTCAGGATACTGCTTCACAAGGGTGAGAATCTTAAGTTTCATTTCAGGCACCACAATTAAATATTCCATGTGATGTATGAATAACTCATTTCTCCAGTCCATAACGAACACATAGACAAGGATGAGCCTCGTGAAAGAACAGGGTGAGTAACTGCTGTCCTATTTGACAGGGAAGCAGATACACAGCCAATCTGAACCACAGTGGGAAGGGTGAAAAGATGCTAGTAAAATTTCACTGCATTTACAGCCTTTAACTGGCTGCACACATTATGTTTATATTGTATAACTACACTTAAAAGTATTACAATCTGGATCTCTGCCTTGTGCTCAATTTGTGGTTGCAAACAGATACAATAAAGCAGCCATTACTATGTAGACACCTCTAATTTTCCAAATAATTTGAAGAATCAAGGAATTGACCTGCAAGATTGTCTGGTGATGGTATGACACAAATTTGCCACATCGGTCCTCCTGAAAGGAAAAAATCTAAGGATCTAGGTGAAATTAGAAGAGTCTGATCCAAATTCTTTTGATCTCGGTGGGATCTTTCCACCAGTTTAATTTTCACATCAGGTCCTGTATTTTATAAAAATTTTGAATTCTACCCCATAACAAATTTCAAAATAGGCATTTCCTTCTTGTAATTTTCAGGATCCTGTATATAAATATCCACCAGTATCATCCGTTCAGCAAACATGTACCTTCAAGGAGGTTGTGTATGAAACAGTGAAGATCCCTGGCTGTGGTGACCATCCTGAATCTTTTTATTCGTATCCGGTAGCTACAGAGTGCCACTGTGAGACCTGCGACACCGACAGCACGGACTGCACTGTGAGGGGGCTGGGGCCATCCTACTGTTCCTTCAGTCAGAAAGGAAGTAACCAGTGAAGGGTACTTGAGATGGCAGCTTGGCTTTAAATGTTCACTTCTAAATAACGGTACTGATTGGGCTTAAGTGGAAGATAATAGGCAAGGCTATTTAGAAACTGCCAAGATCAAAACAAAGGGGGTTTAGGCCAAAATGGAGAGCTACTGACTAAACTTCTCTTCAAGCCTTCTCTGTTTATCCCATCAGTTTCCTTAAAATCATTTTCATAGGTCTACAGAACACTGCTTCCAATTTTGTCTGCCCTTGCCTCCTCTTCTTCTCTATTACACCTTCATTCTTTGTATTCCTGTATTTCCACTGCCTAGTTCACTTAGCTTATTCTATACTATCTATGCTTTCAAAAAGTTCCCAAGTTCCAAGTCTTTATTATCCCCTGCTTTCCATCTCTCCTCAGAATGTACTTATTTTAAACAGCCTTGCAGCACTGGTTTTCTTACAACCAAGGTTTGTGATCTCACTTTCTATTAGTTCAACTGTAAATCTCTCTCAGCTGAGATCTTGACTTTTTTTTGGCAAAATATTTCATATACTCACTGTGCTCTGTAAATAATAACAGCATGTTTATTTAAGAGCCAAAATCTATGTTCAAATGTTGAATGTCACCTGAACTCTGTGCTTTCTCAGTAAGGCTTGTTAGCTCAGGCTCAGTGCCACACCACCACAAATAACATGAACTCTAGTTCATACCTGGCTAACTTGAAAAAAGAATCATCAACTGTCTACTTTCACCTGAGTAAAGATATCCTAAGTCAGTTAAAAAATTCTGAAAATTTTGCCACATATTAGAAACACTGGATTTCCTCTCATTATGCAACAGAACATAATAACAAGAATTTTTTTAATACTGTTTAACATAGGAGTCTCACAAATTATTTAGGGATGAATCTAGAGGCACTGATCCCAGTAGTGCAAACATGGTGTGATAACATGCCTTGAAAGCAGTTCACAGTAGTCCCTTCTGAGAATGGAAGTCCATATACTTCTGCAGCAACCTAATTCTGCAATGACCAGTGTGAAGTTGGGATGGTCTTGAAGAAAGCTGGAGGACTGACTGAATCAGAATGGAAAATTATCTCACATTATTGGGAAAATCACCTGAAATCTATAGAATGAAATCCTATCAGGAAAATGACAAGACACTGCTCTTCATCAGAAACAATCCCCTACACAAACACAGAATGGAGAGCAACTGGCTCAGCAGCAGTTCGGCACAGAAGACTCAGACGTTATACAAGTGAAGTATGAGTCAACAGTATCAGACCACTGCAGAAAAGTAGGAACATAAGGAGTAGAGCCTACAAGACACAACCTACTTCCACCACTCAGTTCAACATAAGAGCCTCAGCTGAGTTGCTATTTCCAGCTTTGGACACAGAACTTCAAGGTGTTGAAAAACTGGAGAAAATCCACAGAAGAGTAATACAAACGGAGAGAGGCCTAAGAAACATCTTAGGAGAAAAATATTTAAGTAAATGTGGTGGTTTGCTTATGGGAGGTAACATTTAGGAAGTGGAAACTAGTGGAACCTTTTACACGCTTGAAGACTGTTACAAAGAGAAAAGAAACAGTCAGTTCTCCATGTTCACAGTGAACAGCACAACTAATAAAAGATTCAGAGTAGTCACTAGCAAATCTTTCAAAAGCTACAGGCAGCTAGACACTGAAATAAATTGTCAGGGGGCTGGGTTAAGGAAGGAAAGAAGTGAGTGGGGTCTGTGGCGTAGTGACCACTACAGGTCTTCAAGGACATGTTGAACCTGTTAGGAATGACAGAGATAAAGTTAATTTGCCATGAGGCAAGGGAATAAAGCAGACAACCTCTTGAGGTCGCCTGGCATGTCTGCTTTTGAGACCCTTACAGACGTTTATTTAACGGGAATTTCTCTGTTACTCTGGATCTCTCTTATAATAGATATTTTAACTTATTTTATTTTTAGCTTTTTTACCGAAAGATATTAGTTCTCTTAACTTAATTTTATTTATAAGGTTAATCTGCATGGACATTTTCTTCAGTCTTAGTGAGGTTTTAAAAGTGGTAAAGTAATACGTAAATCAAATTGCCTTTCACTCATTTCAGTTCTAAACATGAGTTAAAACCAAGCATATTATTCATATCAGGAATTATTCCATTCTGGTTGAGCGAATTTTGAATTAAAATTGCAAAACAGAGTAGCTTGTAGTAAAAAAGTATGGAAAAATATACATTTTCAAAACAGATCTGTAAACACCTGTATTGTCTGTTGTGCATTTTGGAATAATAAAAATAATTTTGTTGTACTTCTGTTATGTATGCCTTAATAAACGAATTAAAAAGCTTAAGAGTCCACCTGCCCACTTCACTATGCTTTAAATCACACCTTTTCTTCCACACCCCCCCACCCCCCATAATCTCTTTCATGTAACGAATACACCCACCTGAGCCATATTTGTATTATATGGCCAAAGCACATTAAATAAAAGACTGGTATATTTTAGCCTGATCCAGTAATGTGATGATGAAATATTACATAGTTGTAACATAACAGAACTGTGGATGAGAATAAAGATTATCATTAATATTTTATTTAAACTATAGGGATTAGCTGTGTCCACATCTGTCACAAATTAGCTTGCATGTGAAAACAAAAATCATACAGCTTTCATTTCATCCATCAGACAAATGCACCATTCATTTTCGTTTTGCAGACAAATCCATTCAGAATCTTGAATCTAAAACTAAGTAATGCAGTCAAAAGAGTATTGAGGTTAATATCAGAATGCTAGTAAAAAAAATCCTTATGGTGCATCACTACAAGCTTCCAGACTCTCACTTAGTATCTCTCACACATCTTAGGTACCCCTGCTGAGGTAAATACCAAGTCCTAGAAACTCAAAGACGCAAAGAAAAAGGTACTCTCCATTTAAGCACTAACTCCTGCCAAGCAAATTCTAGCTTCAAGGCTGGCCTGACTTGAAGATATCTTGGACTACCTTTGACAGTTTGTAAGACAGACTTTGACTTTTTCTTCTGAAAGTTCACTTTTCATTCAATGCCCAATAGTCATTTTATCAAACTTACTTTTACGTCAACGTTTTTCCAAAATTTAATGAAGGTATATGCAAGCCATGAATATCAGTGTAGTCTGAGGTCCAAATCTGCTTTGAATTATTACTTAAGAAAAATATTTAAGAAGTAATTTTTATGCTTTTGCCTAGCTCTGTCATAATGAATAAATGGGAACTCTGTCAACAACTGAAAGTCTCGGTATGACATGCTACTCTAAATACTAAACTGGTGGGTAAGCTTTTAGAAATATTCCTAATAGAGTCAGAAGTGGATTTTCAAAAATTCCTACCATGGTCCTAACACTTTCCATTGAAATCAATAGGTAAAATGTTTTTCAACTTCAATAGAACTATTCTGCCAACAGTGAACTTTTCAAAAACTGCATATTAATTCTATTTTCAAAGGCAGGCTCTGCAAAAAGACTTTACAATATATCAGACTTTAGCCACCAGCCTACAGAAACTAACTTTAGAGGTAGTAAAAACTAAAACGGATTGCACTATCTATTTATTTACTCTCAGTTAAGTAAAATTATCTCTTTTCTTGCATCACTGAAAGCAGCAAATCTAGACAATTATAATTTATAACCCTTTGGTGAAGACATACAGCATAAAGGCAATAGATAGTGTTGAACAGTCCCTTAAAGACCTTTGAGAGGGACACTTAATGCAGGATTCACTGTGTCGTAATTAATTAATTCTTTCAAATACCCAGATGTACAGATAAACTGCATGAAGATTATTCATCTCTGCTGCTACATCTGTGGGTGAATTAATACTTTCTATCATTTATTATGCAGACAGTTTGACCTTGATCTTATGTCTGTGCCAGTTGTACTTGAAGGTCTCCAGACATCAAGATGGGAACATGAAGTGCAGCAGCAGTATTCATAGTCCTACTAATTGAAATGACCGTTTAATCTCAACTGCCTTTTTAGGTAGAAAGCACACCCTGATTTTACAGATGGGCAAAGAAATACACGTTCCTCACCTTGAAGCCATTAACAAAGCATCAACATATTAGCATCACCCCACTGTTGTCAATGCTCAGCTATTATTCCCTGCCTAAGTTCTGTAAATCATTCATCCTAGCTTAGCACAGGTTTACATGTGCCTTTGTAATTTTGGCATATAACTGGGTTCACAATATTTTTACTATAAGGAAGAAATACAGATGTCATCTCCTTGTATTAACCCAACTGATGAATAAGAATTTATTAGTCATCCACAAATCCTCAGACAAACCTAGCCTGAGACAGAGGTAATTACAAATTGTGGAAAACAGGAATGTCAAAACTGTGGCTTGTACATGTCAAGTTGAGGCTGCACTTAACTTGGGCTATTTGAATGGGAAGGGGAAAGACAGTTGAGCATGGTGTTAATATGCTATACTCCTCCTTCACCCTCCCACCTCAGCATTTTGCTTTGTCAGCATGCAATATCTAGCTGCACACTTCATTTTCATTAAAAAAAAATACAACTAGCATCTTCATTGAAACTACAAAAAAAAAAGCTACAAAAAGAGCTAAGCAGCTATTCTGAAAAATTCATTTGGAGATGGCAGCCTTGAGATTCGTGGCTCCCCTCCACTTGGACAATGGGATCTATAAAATTTTTGTGTATCTCATGTTTCTTTTCAATTTATGTTATTAACATTAGCTATCAAAGCCTTGGTCTTTCAATGTGACTTAGTACTGATATTACAGCAGCTCACAAGGCTGCAGTCTCTGGGAAATACAGAAAACAAGACAGGAGCAGGGTTAGAGAAAGGACATACTTTCAGTAAATCAAATGTCAGTGTTTCATTATGTGTAGGTGGAGAAGAGAGAATTAACTAGTTATGTTTCACAGTCATTAACCATTTTTTTTCTTTCGTGTAGCAACTTTAAGAGGCAAGATGTAAAGTCTTACTTCACACTGATGACCTCTTAATTCACTGAAAAAAATATTGGGAGGGTTCAGCTGTATTACTTGTATAGTACGATGTTATTCTGTAGGAGAAAGGAAGGTAAATACTGGATCTAATATCTTTGGATTACATTCGGCTATAGTTATAGACATTGAATAATGCTATAGACAGAGATATTATTCAGTCAGAATATGAGTCTAACCCCTAAAATATGTCCTCCTTAAGATACCAACATTCAAGACATATCAGGTAATCTAGCATTATCCAATGACTTGTAGATAAACCTTTGAACAACTTAAGAAATCCAATTTCCTCCTTTAAATGTTTTTACATTTAAAGTTCTTTCAAAAATTATCTTAGCTTTTATTATCTCCTCTCATTATACAGTATTGGCAAGTCTTGATGTTTTTGTGAATACTGTGGGAATTCCCAGTCAAAAGAATATGATAATGAAGAAAAATCTTAAGAAGTCAGAAAGAAGACTTTTGGTTCAGACACTGTCAATATTTATGTCACAATGAGGCAAACGGT